TGACTAATTTTTTCTCTTATAAAATGTCACTGAACTGACATGGGAGAATATAATTATCATTGCTGGAATTCTTATAAGATAGTGATTAGTTTGAATTTATATACATGCTATAGTTTGCATTAGACATACAAATTTTATTTCTAATTAATTTTATTACAAAGGGCTAAAAATTTTATCTTTTGTGCAAAATATATGACGTTTATATTAAAATTATTCGCTGTCTTGCAAGGATGCCAGCAATGCAAATTATATTCTCCTAACTTTAGTCTGTGATATTATTTAAGATACAAACTTAAAGCCTATAACCACCCAACCCTGGCTGGGAAGATGGGGGGTGGGGTGACAGTGACATGTTTGACAGTTGGGGCTGAAGGTCTAGTGAAGTATTTATTTGTTTATTTATGTCCTTTAGATTGAGTTTTTGTTTTTTGTTTATAAAATGTCACAGAAGTGACCGGGGAGAATATAATTTACATTGCTGGAATTCTTATAAGATAGTGATTAATTTGAATATAATCAGGCTATAGTTTGCACTAGACAAAACTTTTAGTACCCGGTAATCATTTAGTACATTATTTTGAGTACATGTACAGTACAGCTTAACCCTTAGGTCAGTGTAGCGTGCCCAGAGAAACATTTGGAGCGAATTTAAAAATATGATGCCCCAGATTGACTCGAGCAAAATAGGAAAGATTTGCCTCAATTTAAAACATTATCCTTAATTGTGGGTGTCGCTTTAAATCAATAATCTTAAATTGAATTGCTTTAAATTGACGTTCTACTGTATTTATGACACCGATGAGGCATTTGGGTAAGGTATTTGTTAGACAATTAGCAATCCTCGGAGCATTTTAACATATTTCTGATTAATTCCCAATTAAATAAATTATTTTGGGTGGGTTATGGCAAAATTAAAATGAAATAGCTAAATTATTAAAAAAATAAATTTAATCTGGCTTGTAAATTTTGTTATGAATTTCCGATTGATCTGGTAATGCTGCAGTGCTGTAGGGGGTAGTAGTAGGGGATGGACATCTGGGAGTATGCTGTGCTTTTGTTGCCCAAATCTCTAGCAAAGGGAATTCTTCTCCGTGATGATGACAAATATTATTTTTGAAGGGAAATTGCAGCATTGGAATGTATTTCACAGCATATTTGATTGATCGGAATCCTTTTTATGTGGATTTGGGAAAAAGTAGGTAAACGTACAGTGCAGGTAATTTAAAATAATAGTTTTCATCTTACATCTGGCGGTGGCATATCATTTTACCCTGCAAGAAGGCAGAAGAGGCTGCTGCAAATCTTATGTTGTGTATCTGGGGGTCAGATTTTCAAGCTACAAATGCTCCTGTTTTGCAAGTTTGAAAAGTCTGGACTGCTTTTATATCAGGTTTGAATTCAAAGAGACTTTGATAACAAAAATGTTGAAAGCTATACAGTATACTGTATAATTAAATAATACGTTAAGTAAACAATGAGATTTTAATTCTGAAGGGAAGAATTTTTATAGGGTAAGTGATGCGTACCTTGTTTTTTTAGGAATACACACCACTGCATATTACTGTATTAAGGATGACCGTGGATATTATTAGTCAAAACCAAATAAAATGTCTTGTACAGTAATAGGAGAATGTAGCAAGTTGTTGAACTGTATACTGTACCTTTGTGTGTGCTAAAGAAATTTTAAGTACCCTGTACAATAATCCCTTTGCATTATGGTACTGGGAGACCTCAATTTATGAGAGGATAATGCTCTCGAAAAAGCTCTTGTAAATTGAAAATGCTTAAATAGGTTTACAGTATATTTTCTCACTGACTCCCATTCTATAATTAGAGATACATTCTCTACAAAAAAAAAATCACACTCAATTCATGAAGAGTTATTGAGTTATTGCTTTGTTTACCAGGCCAAATGCTGCTGTCATCGTCACTTGATCCATGACCAACACTGTATTGCTACTCCTCAAGCGTCAAGGAACCCTTGGTTTTTTTTTGTGTGTGCGTTATTCCAGTGTCTCAGCTGATGGACCACACTGTCATTCAGGATTTTTAAAGTGATTTACATAAATATTTTGTTGTTGCATCTTCGTAATCAGGATGAAGCACTGATGATAAGATTTCTTTAAAAATTTATCATAGCTTCACATGTAAATACTGAAGTTAAAAGAGAAGCACCACAGGATGAGGTACAACTTTGATGAAGTTGCAACAGATACTGAGGCTTGCTTGACTGATGATAAAGACTTGAATAAGAATCAGGGTCATGAAGAAGAGGAAGAGCGTTGTGCTGATGTGGTTGACAAAGAATGTAATGATCTATTAAGTGACATTCAGAGCTGTAGGGAAGTTTATAAAAGACTTGTTGAGTGTATACAGTGGTCTGAAAGGTGCAATATTGTTCCACACTTTAAACACCTTCTTCTATAATCTGTTTTTGACATGATAAGATGCCAAATAACAAAACAGAAACAAAGATGTTTATTTTCAAACCCAATTTGAATTAGACGGCAACTGACACAAAGTTTAACCCCTATATCACATGAATGACGAGTCTTCAGTAGCATTGCTTCTTTGTACGCCCAACCCCTACAGCTTATAACAAACATCACCATACATGCTCTCACCATCTCCATAACCTTCCTTTTAGGATAGTTGAATTTAGAAGAGGCAAAGTTAGATTAAGCAAGTTATTGAATGAATGGTATGAGAGTCTGTGGTTCAAGACAGTAAATGTAGTAAGTACACTATATAAGTGGTCTTGTATGCCTGATGTTGATGCCTCTCTGTCATGTGTTTTTCTAAATTAGCCGAGAGAAAATTTTTAAGCCAAGTTTTATTTTATTTTTTTATTTATTTTTTTTTTGGGGGGGGGGGAGCAGCACTGGGCTAATACAAGAGGGTATAATTTAGTACATTACTTAAGCTTGGGTGAACATAAGTTTTAAACCTTGAGCTGATTTTAGTTGTTTACCATGCCAATTCTTTGTATGGTGGAGTCTCATTAATACTCTTTTAGACATTTTTTCCAGCTCAAAACTTTTCTTTATATTTAATTTAGCATCTTATTGTCATTGGTACCTTTTATTAATGTGGTGACTCATTTATGGTTGTTGGGTTCAAACATAAGTACTGTACTGTATGGGTTTGATAGTTGGAAGTCATGATCTCAAGGTCATTTGTACCTGTAAGTCACCCTCTTGTTTGCAAGTTTCAAGTGTTTCCTAAACTGTTGTTCCCATAGGTGTGTGAAGTCAGAGGTTCTAATGTATTACAACATATTCATAAAATTCCATCTAATTAAGGATCAGATCGCCTCCAAATTTAGATAGGCTAGAGCCCCTATTTTTCTGCATTGTGGAGGGATTACTAAATACAGTTGAACGTCGATTTAAAGCGATTCAATTTAAGATTATTCATTTAAAGCGACACCCACAATTAAGGATAATGTTTTAATTTAAAGCGAATCTTTCCTATTTTGTGCGAGTTAATCTGGCGCATCATATTTTAAAATTCGTGCCTAATGTTTCTCAGGACACACTACACTGTCCTAGGGGTTAAGCTGTACTGTACATGTACTCAAAATAATGTACTAAATGATTACTGAAATTTTTGTCTAGTGCAAACTATAGCATGATTATATTCAAATTAATCACTATCTTATAAGAATTCCAGCAATGTAAATTATATTCTGCCCGGTCACTTCTGTGACATTTTATAAACAAAAAACAAAAACTCAATCTAAAGGACATAAATAAACAAATAAATACTTCACTAGACCTTCAGCCCCGACTGTCAAACATGTCACTGTCACCTCCCCCCCCCCCTCCCAGCCAGGGTTGGGTGGTTATAGGCTTACAGTTTTCATCTTATATAATATCACAGACTAAAGTTAAGAGAATATAATTTGCATTGCTAGAATCCTTGCAAGACAACAAATAATTTGAATATAAATGTCATATATTTTGCACAAGAGATAAAAATTTTAGCCATTTGTAATAAAATAAATTAGAACATGTCAGTTCAGTGACATTTTACAAGAGAAAAACTTAGTCACTCTTAAGGACAGTTAAATAAATAAGCACTAGACCTTGGCATCAACTGTCAAGCATATCACCTCACCTCCCACCCCCTATCAGCTGATCACTGGTTAACAGGCCATTTCACGTCCCATAATTTTAGCTGTGTTGATTTATGAGTGTTTGTTTTAACATAATAACAAAAAACAATGTTTTGTTTATTCTAGGAGATGGGCTGAGGTGCATCTGGGTAGACTCTCAGTCTTCTTAGTATTTTGTGTTTCTCTCAAGTACCAAACTAAATTATTCTATTGAAACAACACTTCGATTTAGTGCGAATTCGGTTTAAAGCGACCTCTCTTGGAACGTATCTTGTGTTATTTCAATGTTCTACTGCAACCTCCATTGTGTGGAGCAATGTCAAATATTTCATCATAATAAAACTCCACCAATAACCCAAAATTTTAAGGATCACGTCACCTAAATCATAATATTCTTTTTGTTTGGCCTCACTTCAGAAGGTTCATAAGTCTTAGACATAAGCAAGAGTTTATATATTTTTTTATTAGTAAGTTGATTGTAGTATTCACAGTTTGATACAATATCTTGAAGTAACTGTACAGTTTTAATGTTTGCAATTTAAATTATATACAGTACTGTATTTAAAAGTGATTTTGGGTAACCCAGTTATTTATCTTACGACATTTTATGTGGTTTTCCTCATAATATTTAACACTGTGACCCTTTTTTCAGGATTCACATCAGTTTTTATGAATTAAAAAATTTCTCACTTAATACTGTACATTCTTTAAACAAAATTTTGGTATAATACAGTTTTGTATTGACATTCCATAAGTAAATATCACTGAAGGTTTCTCTTGTTTAATTTTGCTGATATTTAACCAATTTTTTTTTATGTGTATACTTTCTTTTCCTGTGTGTGTCTGCCTGCCTTATGTTTAACTAAATGAAGTTAGTGTTTAAAATCCACTTTTAATTTTACAGGGAAAGGGATGTCCTTATTCACATGACATACAGCCACAACGGAAGATGGAACTTTGCAAATTTTATATGATGGATTGCTGTGCAAAAAAGGACAAATGTCTATACATGCACAAAGATTTCCCATGCAAACATTATCACACGGGTGTCAAGTGCAAATCTGCTGAAAAATGCAAGTTTAGTCATGATCATCTTTCTGATGCAGCTCGTAATGTTTTGCTCAAGGTGGGTGGAGAAATCTCTTTTAAAAGCTTAAGGAATATTATATTTGAAAATTATTAAATTTTAATATGTGATGGTATAACACTAAACAAAAAATTAGATCATTGTATCTGATTTGAGAATGACTTGAGTAAAGTTTAGGCATTTTTATGGGTTGTTTTACCATATACTGTACTGTACCTTATGTGATCTTTGCTAATTCATATTTTTGTACAGGATTAGAAAGCAGGAAATTCCAGTCAATGTAAAATGAATGCACGTTTATCCTGTACTATTGTACTGCATGTTAATTTTTTTTGTGTAAAACAAGTACTGCCCTCATTTTTTCGTGTGGGCTTATGATTGGCTACGTTGATAGTGTCCTCAACACAGCGATGATTGGTCAATCACAGCACCTATTATTTTGTACTATTTTACCATTAATGGCATTAGTACTTTTTAAGAGAAATTAAGAAATTGTGCCTTTATTTTCTTAAAGATAAACAATACTGTAATAAAATGGGATAAGTAAATGATTTGTTTGAAAGTGTCAGACAAGGGTGCCTCAATAAGGTAATGCATGAGACTTCACTTCTGAGTATTTGTGCACGAGTCTTATACTTTTTCCTTGGTATTGAAATACATTTGAAACAGTCACCATAAGCTTTGGTATACACATCATTGGAAACAATATTTTATAGAATTATTGTTAACAAGTAAAAGTGTTGTAACTCATTATATCTTATAAGTGTGTGAAATATTGGCAAATTTATTGTTGGAATGAGTCATAAACTTGGACCAGTGCCAGATACCCCATTGTCCTAGATGCCCAAAGTTGGTAACTGAAAATACAGGTGTATTGTACAGTGAACAGTCAGCTTCTGATCTTTTGGTGTGGTAGTACCACTGATTAGCTGGAGAAACATGATTTGACTTAATTATCTTAAATATAGTTACTGTACTATAATAATGTAAAATATTGGTCATCAGCCATTCCCATTTTTAGTTATGTCTGGTACATTATTCTGTTGAGAGAGCATTGTTTAGTTCTGAAAATAGTAATGACAGTAAATTTTGAATTAGAGTTAACAAGACATTAATATCTAACATACAATGAACACAACTGTTTAGTGATGAGTCTTAATTTCAAGGCTTTTCATTTATGTGCTATGATGTTTTATCTTATTACAGGACATCTTATTAGTGTTCATATCTTCAAAAATATTTCTAAACTATGATGTATGTTGATAAGTGTGATTGAAGAGCCTGAGGTATAAAGGAGCTCCCCCACTCCTCCTCACCTGAGCCTAGTTGACAAATTAGTGGCAAAAATGGTCTCATAATCTTAGCACCCCTCAGCTGTTCCACCCATCCAGTCACCAGCCCACAGTCAAGAAAGTTGGTGCTTATTTTGCATATTCAAAATGAACAAATTATATACAGTATTAGTCTAATCTTACAGCCTTGCTGAAGCTAAATGGGTTATTAAAACTTACAGTGTGGATGAGCAAAACATCATCAAGATTTACGGTAAATGGAATTACTATGCCCACACTAGTTTTGTAGTTACTGCACTTAATTGTATTTGTGTACTTATCTTTCTTTTCTATGCTTCTGTTGCTACCTTTTAATTATTAAAAAAGGATTGTATCGTGTAGGTATAGTAAGTGTATATATTAAACAGTACATTATGTGTAATACGTATGTTCAGTGATTACTCATACAAGAGTCACTTCCAGTTTATAGATAATTTGGCTTGCAGATAGCCTCCAGGAGTGGGGCCCATCCTTAACTCGTGGAGTATCTGTATAATGTTTTTACTGGACACCTTTAATTTAGGAATATTTAGCAGTAATAATTTAATAATCTTTTCTTTGGCAAGAAGCAAAAACTGCTTTATGACAGACTTTCTGGAAAACTCTTAACTTCATATATTTTCAGCACATTGAATTAGCCCCAAAAGACATACTCGGTGACTTCCCTCGCCTTACTAAAGAAGCTGCACAACTGGTGGTGGCAATTACTGAAGCACATCGCAGAGGATCCCCAATGGATGTTGAAAGTATTCCTGGTGTTATGGAAATAAAAGGCAGAGGCTTCAAATGTGAGTACTAATGGTATATTTGTTGTTGTATTATTGAGTAGAAGCATTCATCTTACCACTGTAGAAAGGAAAAGTTGTCAGATATAAATGTAAGAACTGTAGGATAAACAGTCATGAATCTTTCTGTTTAATGTGTAAAGTAATTAGAGTTGTGATTTATGGCCAAATTTTGACTACATGCAGTTAAAGAAAATCACCTGCATTTATTGGTACTGTTACTGCAGTGTTTTGCTCATTTTTATAGAAATACCCGGTAGTGTACAGTTTCACAGGAGATTATATAAGAGGTACAGTACACACAAGAATATTGCCTCCAGCGCATGTTATAACAAAAAGAAGAAGAATATTAACATATTTTTTAGACTACAGTACTATTTTCAATATAACTCATCCTTTATTTAGATATCTGAAGATAAATCTATAGAATATTTAGGTAGCTGTTGCTTCATAGAAGGATGATGGATGCACGAGTGGCAAGTCACGCGTGGCTTGGAATCCACTAGATATAGAATGATGACCATGTGACAACACATGCCAGCTCACCTATGTAAGAGGCTTGCCTTGGTGATGGGCAGATGAGTGTTATAAATAATTTTGCACATATAGGCAGGTTACTGTTGCTCAGACTTGCATTTAACGAACTACAACTGTACTGAGTGGCAGGAAGTGGTGCAGAGCATGATTCAACACATTCAATTGCATAAGACTGAATCTATCTCCCACATAAAGAATTTCTGGTAGAAAAGGGTTCATTGCATGTACAGTAACTGAATTCACATATACTGATCTTGCAAAAAAGAGAAGGCAAGAAACAACTTTTTTCTATCACATGAAGCACTAAATGCCATAATTAAGGAGTGCAGGTGAGGTAAACTATTACCTCACCTAACCGACCTTATTGGCTAAACTAGATAGTAGTTGTTAAACACTAATACTGTAATGTATACAAACACACATGATAAAAATACAACAGTACAATAAATTGTGCTGTGTCAGTGGTGGCGTATGCAATTTATTATAATTGAGAATTTGCTCTATTTTGACAAGGAATTATAGGGGTTCTACATATTTTTTATGTATAGTATTTATGCAGTGATATTTTCTTTATTATTATTTATGAGGTAAAACAAATGTTCAACTAGTTTGTGTGGGTATGTGGAAGCAAAACTTGATATAGCCTACTGCTAGGCCTTGGGTAATAGACGGAGCCTAGTGCTAGGCCTTGGGTAATAGATGGATGATGACCTAGGACCCAGGAAACTGGAAAATTCTCAAAACACGTTAAGTCTTGGTCCTAACGGTCTCAATTTTAAAGGTCTACTCAATACCTTCATCAGAATTTCCAGCCTATTTAAAGAAAAAGGCTATTTATTCATATTTGACTACAAATTAACACTATGGATTAAGAAAATGAATCATTGATGACTGTTAAACAATTGATGGTTAGTCACCAGTTTTAATCACCATTATAGATTATATTTAATAATTTATTCTCCATTTCTTCAGATGTAGACAAAGCCATTAAGAGGCAAGAAGCACGAATGAAGAACATGCATAAGGAGCAGCAGAATGAACATGTGAGAGGAGAGAGAGCAATGACCCCAGAACTTCAACATCAGCAGGTGGACAAGTTAGTGCACCACAAGTCAGAGGACATGGATATCAAGTCTCCACCTGGACGCATGCGAACCCCACCACCAAGTAAGTTCTCCAAGCATAAGGAAATAATTGCTTACTAAAATCCAAGAGTAATAGTTACTGGTATAAAAGATGTTAAGAGAAAGATGTGTCTGCTCTTGCTTCCCTTCAATATGTATCATACATCTAATTGTTAATGTAAGCTCTTCAACTGGATGTACAATGTTGTGCTAATTTTTTTTCACATTGATACACTTGAAGCTTTGATACAAGTTTTCGCTTGTTTGGTTTTTAATAGGGTCTTTGTGTATAGAATAATGGAGGTGATGAAGGAGGGTGTGTTGAGGTGACACAAAAAATGAATAAAAGAAAACCTATCAGTAGAATGTATAAATTGGATGAATAATAGAATGTATAGAAAGTGGATGGATATAGTGAAAAGAAATATGGGTTACAGTAAATTTAAACTTCAGTAAGGTAATTCATCTATGTGTTCATATATTGTTGTGCTCTTGCTAAGGTAATTAATTTGTTAATGCCTTTATTCCTTTCTCTCATCCTGAATGCAGGAACTAAAACTTACCTAGACTGCACTTAGTATTTTCTTTCAAATCTGACCTTGATCTTTAACTTTTTTATCATAAAACTATAGCAGCTTTAGATGCAGTGTTGCTGATGTATACCATTTTCGTCTGCTATGCGAACTAAAAAAGCGCGCGAAGTTCGAAGGGGAAACTGCCAATTCACAGTTAACGAGAGTACGAACAAAAAGTTCACACATGTTTTAAAGAGGAAAATACAAAATAAATGAGGAATAGATGATGTATATATTAAAGTTTAAATAAAATAGTAACTTATTTGTTCCGAAAATGACGTACAAAGTCTCTTGATTGATATACAGTATATAGCATACATTCACGTACGATAGAGCAATGGGAACCTTTGAAACTATATTTTACCAGCATAAGTATGGAGGAAAAATTTCACACAATTTTATCTATTCTAGAAAGCTTAAATGATCCATCCATATGCCTATACTTCCATTTTCTCAACTATATTTTGCCAAAGTTTAATAACTTAAACCTTCTTTTCCAACGTCAAGAACCTTCAATACAAGTATTGCATAAAAGATGCAGTGATCTTTACCATGATGTATTGTGGAGTTACATGAAGAGAGATGGAGTGAACAGGATCTCAAATACAGCAAATATAGATCCTGAAGACAACACAGAATTCCTCCCCCTTAATCAGATATATCTTGGGATAGAAGTTCCTGGTCTCCTCCAGTCTGAAGAGTATAGGGACAGGAAAGACATGATAGAAGATGTGATGAATAGGTGCAGGCAATTTATGATTATATCTTGCAAAGAAATAAAAAAAAAGGTTTCCACTTGTTTACGAACCAATACAGATGTGTTCTGTATTTTCAGTAGAAAATTTTTTAAATAAGCAGTCGAGAGTGACAATGCCTTCAATGTTACCTTTAATGAACGCTTTCCCTAGAATATCTCCCACGAACAAACAGCAGTTGGATAATGAGTGGAGAACCATTGACAACATAAGATTTCCATACTATATGAAAAATCAAAGAAACACAGAGCTATTCTACAAGGAAATGTCAAGTATGAAAGATGATTTTGGTGAACCATATTTCTGTGAGCTGCCATACTTTGCTCTGAAGATATTGTCTTTGCCCACATCAAATGTTGATGTACAAAGAATCTTTTCCAAGGTGAATCTGACCAAAACTAAGCAAAGAAATATTTTTTCTATGCAGATTTTAACATCTCTAATCATTTCATATGAAATGGTTCACAAATGTGGAGGATGTGTTTCATACAAGCCTAGTGAAAATTGGATTCGGTTTGTGAAAAATCTTAATGATTAATTGTAAATACCATGTACAGTGGTCCCTCGGTTAACGAACACAATTCGTTCCACAGAGTCGTTCGTTAACCGAATCCATTATTTCAATGGTTCCAGCTCACAGAAAAGTACATACAAAGTAAAGCCAAAAACACAAAAAGTCAGAAACACTCATAAAATTCCCCTAAATCGCCCTTAAATCACAATATATATATATATATATATATTGTTGTTGGTTGCTGATATTGATATATATATATATATATATATATATATATATATATATATATATATATATATATATATATATATATATATATATATATATATATATATATATATATATATATATATATATATATATATATATATATATATATATATATATATATATATATATTTCATTTTACTCTTAAATCACTACTGTAATGTGGTACAGGTGATTAATTTTTATCTCTTGTGCAAAATATATGACGTATATATTCAAATTATTCGCTGTCTTGACAAGGATTCTAGCAATGCAAATTATATTCTCCTAACTTTAGTCTGGGATATTATATAAGATAAAACTTAAAGCCTACTGTATAACCACCACACCCTGGCTGGGGGAGGGGGGGGGCAAGGTGACAGTGACATGTTTGACAGTTGGGGCTGAAGGTCTAGTGAAGTATTTATCTGTTTATTTATGTCCTTTAGATTGAGTTTTTGTTTTTTGTTTATAAAATGTCATAGAAGTGACCGGGGAGAATATAATTTACATTGCTGGAATTCTTATAAGATAGTGATTAGTTTGAATGTAAACATGCAATAGTTTGCAGTAGACAAAAATTTTAGGAATCATTTTGTACATTATTCTGATTATATGTACAGTACAGCTTTGCCCTTAGGACAGTGTGTGCATGTAAATGAGTTTCAATAAATGAATAAAGTTACATATATCGAGCCAAAAATAATAGTTGAAAAACTTTATGTAGACAGAGCTTGGATGGCTAAATTTTAGAATGACCAATAATTTTAATATAAAAAATGCACAAATATTAAAGAGCACAATTTTCTTGATATTTACTCCACTGGAAACGAATGTAAACATAGAACAGATTACTGAATTGGCAGACTAGCCCATCAGCTTATCAGCTGATGCTCACAACAAAACGTGTTTGCCGTAAGGATTTCGTTAATCAGGCAGGAAAAGCTCAACATTGGTGATGTACGAGTAGTATACAGTACCTGGACTGTGTAGACAAGTTCTGCTACCTGAGTGATATGACCAGTGCTGGAGGTGGGGTGAAGAGTCACAAGCAGTTGGAAGAAATTTAACCATTGAAATACACAAAAAATATGGTCTGAGAAATTAACAAAACACAGTTTAACATAATAGCATACGTAGCTTGTAACACTATTTAAGAAAAAAGAACACTCGCCTTAACCATGCCTGCAACACTAAGAATTTTCAAATGTTTACATGAAAATGTTTCCTCATATTGTTACATTCATGCATTATTATCCTTCATCATTGTTACTAAGGAACAGTCAGGAGTGCGGGAAACTCAAAAAGGGATGCTACTGCCTTGTACAGAACTAGGTAATTCAAAATGGAGAAGGAAAATTAATATCGTCCTTGGACAGTTTTAGCACCACGGGGTTTACGGAGCAGTTGCCTTTATTGATATAGTACAGTAGCAGGAAGAACTCCTTTTCTCAGAAAAAGAAAGATACATGCAAACAGAGTGAGAAGTATGATGTAAAAAGCATTGATATATGGGCAGTTAAAGAGGATGATGTATATATATATATATATACAGTCGACCCTCGTTAATTCTGACTAATAGGGGGGAAGGGTGTCCGTTTTAGCCGATTGTCCGAATTAACCGATTTAGGGGTTAATATTGCATTATGTTTCAGTCATTGTTTTCGTCACGATTTTATCCCACTTTCCACTGTAATACCTACGTCATTTCAGCAAAAATATTACATTTCCGTGAATGCATTATATCAAGCACAGTATGAATAGAATACCATTGTAATATAACAGTATTTTAACCAAAAACTATTAAAAAACCGAGTAACTTCTCTTGAACATTGGAAGGTTAGGTAAACACTTATTTACTGCTCATATATATTGAAGGGTTAAATGTTGTACTCTGTATAGACAAGCAGAGAGAGAGAGAGAGTGCAGCCGAACTGCCGGATGTAAACAAACCTTAATTTCCCGCGGCTTTTTTTTTTTTTTAAGGGGATTAGCCCACCCGGGCATAGGTCACTGACCCACATTGGGGCCTGAGGGGCAAAAATTTAATACTCCTGTAATAATAATAATAATTCAGATAAGGAAAAAAAAAAGCTGCCTATCTACCTATTGGACAAACTAAAATCGTTCCGGACCACGGGAGTTTCCGGACCACAGAATGCCGGACTAGAGAGGTACAACCTGTATATATATATTTTAAAGCATTATATATACAGTGGGGTATGCTATAACGAATCTAATTGGTTCTAGAACCTTGTTCGTTATAGGATTAATCCGTTCCAGGCCCCCAAATACAACCACTTAACACTGAAAAATATAATATAAAATTGTAAAAATTGTAAAAAAGTGCATAAATATGCATCTAAACCCCTGAAATAACCAATATCATTAATACTTGTAATAAAAAAACAATAAATTACTAAAAAAAAAAAAAAAATTTTTTTAAATAATGTTCGTTGTAGGAGTTTCGTTCGTTATAGCATTCTCAATTTTATAGGTAAAACCGTTCGTTATAGGAATATTCGTAGTAGGATCCGTTCGTTATAGCATACCCCACTGTATATATACTGTATATATATATATAAAATGCTCACAAATAAAAAGGATATTAGAGTGTCTTAGAGTAAGACTTATGCCATGTCAGAGCAATTTCACCCTCCTAGCCTTTCTTACCGTCGTGAAGATTAAAGGACGTACTAGATACATCCTTCTGATGTAAGAGGATGTACTAGGCAAGTCCCTCTGACTCGAGAGGTTAATGTTTACATTGACTACGCATGTGAAATAATTTGTCACAATGTGTTACATGTTCTTGTCTTTACTGCTTGATGAAGCAGTATGTTTATTGAGCTTCCATACTTGCAATATATGATAACCAAACAATGTTGTTCAGTCTGCATCACTTGAGGGTTTGGAGTGTCAGTTACCGATCTGTTTAGAGGAAATTTTGCATGCATTAGGATGACTGAAATGCCTGAAGTCACACACACATAATATGTGTGGAGGATTTCAATCATCATAGTTTAAAAAGCAGTCATGAATACTTCTTTTCAAAGTAAATATTTCATATAGTTTTAGATTTAAGACCGGAATTTGGATCAGCTTAGAAATTTTTCTGGCCTTGTCAAGAAAAGAGAGGAAATAATTTTCGTAGGGGTAGAATTCCATTATTTGTATTGGAATTGTGATATGTTGTGGGAACCATTACCATGTGTCAGTAATGATACAATTGGACTCGGCAACATTTTCTCTACTCCGTTATTTTCTTTTTAAAATTTTCTTTGTTTATATTTTTAATATCCAATGGTACTATTGCAAGTATTTGAAAAATTCAGATATACATATTTTTTTATAGTGGCCCAAAAAGAGCACCATAATAAATCTTTTTAAAGGTGAGATGATTCAACAGGATGGCACTACCCAGGTTGTGGCCCTGAGGAAATAAATGGATACCAACAGTTCAGCAAAGAATGGGTAAATGACTACCATTACTTGCAAAAAGGTGTGTTAGCATATACACAAAAAGTACAGCTGTGTGGGAGTCCTGTCACAAAATGCTATATATGCGTGTGTGTGTATTCACTGATGGTTGAAGCAATATGTGTATTGATTTTGTGTCCAGTGATCTCTTAAATCACTTTATCATTGCCTTGACTTATTCCTTTCTGTCTACCTTTGGAGGCATCTTTTTTCCACATACTGTACTGTACTTATTTTTGTTAGAGGAGCACCTGTTGACTGCTTGGACTCCGATACACGAACCAACTTGGAGATTTCTGTATTTTTTGTATTGGGTTCTTTTCTTGTGTAATAAACAAACCATTCGGGAGTGTTTCCTCTGCTTGTGAGAGTTTTTGAAGACTGCTTGCTGTATTATGTGATGTACACCAAAATGAAATTTGTTGATCAATTTGAAACATATTTTAAATTATTTTTTAGCTTATGTACTGTATGCAGTATTAGTGGAATAAAAAAACTGCACTTATTTAATGCAGATTTTGTATACAGGCTGTCCCCGAGTTATGAACGCCTGACTTACGAACACCCGCATTTACGAACGAAATCCCAATACAGTAAAGCCTCAAATAACGACAGTCATGTGTCCTCCAATATTGCGGTTTAAGGTGAATCATCGTATCATGAATCATTAATTACTATTAAAATAAAGCAATAATAATGAGATGCGTTCCCCATTGTGACCTTTTTATAACTTTTGTGTGGCTTTTTACCCTCTTCCCCCCAAAACAATACAATATAATGAAAAATTAAAACTACGGTATATTCTTTAAATAATGTTTATGAATGCAACTCATACAATATAAATCAATAATAATAAGGTCACAACAGGAGAGGGGACACCATTGTTGTTGTCGCGTTTACACCCATAATGTCAGTTATCCACCTGAAACTGAAGAAAATAAGATACTGGTTGTTGCTGCAGTAAAATTAATGTAAAATAATAATGTATATTTTAATTAATATTATTTAATGTACAGTAAAAGTAACCATTGATGTTAAGGAAAAAAAAAAGAGTGATAGAGGAACGGCAATGTATACTGTACTTGCGCCCTCAAGGAAACCGCGTCTATTATCTTAAGAATATGTAGAAAGGATTCATTATTGTTTATTACTGAATAGGTATTGATTGAATTAATGTTTAGTTATGCGAATTGAACAATGCAATTCATTAATAATGCGTAGAATATTAAAACACACACTAGGAGAAGAGACGGCATTGTTTACAACACCAGTGACGATGGTTCTACATAAGAAACTGAAGAAATAAGACCCTGGTTGTTGCTGTAGTAAAATTAATGTAAAAAAATGAATATGTATGTTTTAATTAATGTTAATAAATGGAACAATAGAAGTAGCTAACCATTAATGGTAAAGAAAAACGAAATGGATTTGGAACGCCAACGTGTGTAAGTGCGTGCATGCGAAAACATTGTCATTTCTCTACATAAGAATGTGAAAGCACCACTTAATACTGTTCATATATGTTTTAAATAATACTTACTAATGTAAAACAAAAATTCTACTCGCCAATGGCGGTAAAGTCTAAAATATAAGGACAGCCAATGAATATTGTGCGAGTTTTTACTCAGATGACGAAGCTATCAGGTTGCTGAAATTGTTACTGAATCTGAAGTTGATGTTGAAGTTGTTTATGATGCTGAATTTGATGGTGTAGCTGAAGTTGATGGTTTAGGCCTTCGAATAATAAAGCTGTCGAAAGAACCTTGCACAGCTGCTTTCTTTTCTCATTATACATCTTTATGTAGAGGTCATATGCATTTTTCACATCCCTGTTAATTTTGATGCTTTGTTCTGTTAATGGATCCACTTCAGAAAGTATGTTCATTGCTTGCTCTCACCTTTTTCATATCGTTTTAACACATCTAGTTTCTCGGCTAAGCTTATACACTTTCTTTTAGCTTTTGTACCAGCACTACCATCACTTTCTCTCTTGCTCATGTTGAATAGGGATGCAAAAATGCCATAAGAAACCTGAGAATGTTTTTCTCCTTTTCCTGTTCAGATGCGTGAAAACAAAAGGCCTGCCAAGCTGCAACTATTTATAATGTATATTGGGATTTAGTTATTATTCATATGAAAATGTAATTTTATTTTGTTTTTTATTCTATTTGCATCTTAAATACAAAGAAAATAATGGTGTAAATTGAATTGGGTCATAAATTTACCAGGGTCTTAAATATGAATCGTCGTTAGTAGAACCGTCGTTATCGGAGGTTTTTCTGTATATTTATCACAAAAATCTCTAACTAAAATTCGATTTTTTACATTACTTTATATTGTTTGACATCACTGTATTTACAGTATTATCATTGCTTTGTATGGGCAGGGTTGTGCTTTAACCTAACCTATGGTATAAACACTTCCCACTTATGAACAAGGTCTAGGAACGTAACTCGTTTGTAACTTGGGAACTGCCTTTGCAAAGTACATGTTTTTCAAGGCAAAATTTCTTAAATAGTTTATACAAAGCATACAGTACATGTGATCTTCATCATCACCACTGTTTTATGGCCATTTTTCATGTTTGCTTGGGTTAGCCATGGTTACCTGATGGCAATTTTCCATTCTGTGCAGTCTCTTGCGATCTCTTTTGTCAGGTTCTTTTCTCTGAAGTCAGTTTTAATAACCTCTCCCCCATTTCATTCTACCCTTACTCTTCTCTACATTCAAATTTATGCACATTTTGATACGATTGGTTTCTTCCATTTTCTGCACATACCCGAACCATCTCAACCTTCCTCTCCACAAAACCTCACTAATGTTCTCAATACCCAGCCTCAGTCTTATCTGAACAGGGTTTCCTGTCTCAAAGTCACATTACACATCCATCTCACCATTATCCTATCATCTCGCTCAAGCCCATGTTTATCATCCTTGATAACTGCCCATGTTTTACTGCCATTCATCACACTTATCACTCCAGTTGCACTCAATTTTCCTTTTAAGTAAAGACATGGTCCTCTTGGCCATCATTCAGTGGCATATGACCTCAGATGTTGCATCACCAGGGATGTAATTACCACACTCATTCAATCAATCAATCAAAGCAATGAATAAAGGCAACAGCTGCCTAAACTTCTTTCAGCTATTTCTGACTTGCAAATGATCCACTTCAGTACCACCTCCAGCTAACATACCATCATTACCTGATTATGTAAAGTCTAAATATGTATGCAGTCATCATCAGTTTTGAATAAATACAATTATTCTATTAAATATGCTAAATTGAGTTTGTAATTACTAAACTCTTAAATGTCCTGACAGAATTCTGAAGCTTTTTCGTTTGGGTTTCTTGCTCTTAAGAGAAAATGTGACTTGTGTTTAGTTGCAGTCTGTTTGTAAAAGATGCTTTGTGTATAGAGTGATATATATATATATATATATATATATATATATATATATATATACTCTGTATATATATGCAAGGGTCATTGTCTGCAATTGCATGTATAGACATAATTTTTGTCTCTACATATCTACCAGTGTTCAATGAACTGTAATCTTATTGCTTCAGAATGTCATCCAAATACAGTATCAGTGATTTTATGTTGCCATAATTAGCCATTTGTACATCTCATAATTTTTTTCTTAACAAAACTCTTTTTCTCTTCCTGTCACTTATTCCTCCCTGTCAATTTCAGTTTTGTTTTTATAATGCCACATTGCATCATTATCATAACATTTAATTTTCCAGCATACTAATACTGTCTGCCTCAAACCACCCATTTCCTGATATGGTATCTCCCTCCAGACTCATTTTTTTCATTTACTCCAGTATATTCTATATTTAAAACTGTCACTGCTCTTATTAATTTTGATTTAATGTACATTATTTATGAAAATATTTTTTACAATTTTGTAGATGAAGACATGATCAATGGAGAACTGCCAAAACCAGGAGCAAGTAATAACATGAGCGACACTAGTCCAAGTACCAAAGCCAGTATGAACACTAACATTACCCCTGGCAGTTCTAGTCAATCTGGGTCAAGTGGCAATAGAAAACTGGGAGGTTTTATGACGGCTCGAATGCCTCAGAAGCAACGCGAACTATTTCAGCGGATTGAACAGCAGCATTCAGTCCATCACGACCAAGATGATGCATTAGTGGATGGAGGGATGGATGATGCATCAACCAGTGCTAATGTTAATTGGTATTCCAGTGATGAGGATGGTGATGGTGCCTCACTCTCAAAAGCACAAGGGCAGGTAATTAACTCACCTCTTGTTGTTCTTCACCATTCAAACGATGTACAGTAATGATGGAATTGCTCCTCCCTTTCAAGCAGGAGATCTATGTCTTCTTCATAACTTTTAATATTCATTCTTCCCATACCTTATCAAAATGTAACAGTACCAGTCTCATTATCTATGCCATGTAACAAAGCATATTCTTTAGTATGCAATGATTATGATTGCTATGTGGATCAAATTATATAGTAACACTTTCACGTACAGAATTACCTGAATTCCAAAATTTTATTCGTGCAGATATATTACAGATACAGGTACTCCCTGACTTACGACGGGGTTAGGGACCGACATCCAGGTTGTAAGTCGAAATGGTCGTAAGTCGGAAATGCTTAAATAACACATAGAAAATCGAAAATTTGGGTCTCTTTTTCTTCTCAGCACCACAAAACACTCACTTTTAAGCTTGCCAGCCATTTTAAAGTGAATTACAGATGAAAATTTTGTCTGTGTAATTACTGACTTTGGGACTCAAAAATACATAATTTGACCACATTTTGGTACGACTGAGGCGGTCGTAAGTGCGGGTGGACGTAAGTCGGGGAGTACCTGTACTTATTTTATGTTTATTTGAATGTTGTTACCGTTATGGCGAACAGGCATACCAACATATGACAGTGCTCTGAAGGATTTTGTCCAGCATTTAAAATTGTAAAGACAGAAAAGGTAATGATAATTTTGGGGGAAACTGTACATAAATGACTAATACAGGGAGTCCTTACTAGATGTTGTACCTGTGTATATCATTTCCATAAAAATATAGGAAGAAATTTTCTTTCTGTCAATTGTTTCACATTACGTCATCTGCATCATCCACTGTTTACTAAGTCTTTGGGTACCCAATTATGATGCGTAAATAGTGTTTAAACCATCTAATACATCTAACCATAATAAGTAATAAAGGTGCCCTACAAATGTCAAATTTCTACCATGCCAAAATACATCATTCGCATCTGCTCGGTATTGCCATTGTTATATGTAAGTACTACAGGATATCCCCGGATTAACGATGGGGTCACCTTCCTGTAAAACCCATCACAAGTAGAAATGTTGTAAATTGGGATCATTATAACATGGGGTTCAGTGGGATATGTTCTCAGCCAGTTTGACACCCACATGTATCACCAAAAATTCAATTCCTACAATAATAATATACCTAAAACAACATTAAACAATGCTCACCACATCATTTAGAAAAACCTGGTCATCATCACATATTCCCTTCAAGGCTAAGGGGACTCTTGTAGGTGGAGTGGAGATGTCATTCTGACTTCCACAGCCTCTGAGAACTCAAGCTTCACTTCCAGAGACACAGTTTTCCTTGGTGCCTTGGCATTCCCAGACATTTTCAGTTACACTACTCACTTCACGGTGACAAAAACAGAGTGAAAGCACTTGTAAAAAACAAAACGACGAACAATGATAACAAAATAATGATAGTGGCTGACACTGTTTACATCATGTTCACCATTACAGAGGCAAAGCACCTTACAGTCACAAAAAAAGAGTAAGATGTGACCATAAGTGATGTCCTCTCACTGTAAAGTAAAAAAAAAAAGAAGCACATGATAAGTAACAACATTGATATTGACTGATAATTATTGAGCTACATGATCACGTTCATGTGCGATCACCAGAGAACAAAGCTTGGGACTGTAGTGCACTGGGTACGTTCCATATTTACTACACAAGTCAGCAATTTTGGCTGGATGATGACCATCGTTCATGCAAAAAAAAAAGAAATTAAATAGGGGGAGTGGTTTTTATACATCAATACTGTACTGTATTGTTCAAGCGAAATATCGTAAATGGGGATATTGTAAATCAGGGAATACCTGTAACCACATAATTTGCGGAAGAATCATTTCAGTGTGCTAGTGAACCTTATGAATAAAGAAAATACATGTACTGTATACTGTACCGTAATATAAAGATGCGTATAAAATACAGTACAGTTTTAAAAAGTAAAAAGTGTAGGGGTATATTCTGTGGGAGAATATAAAGTCTAGAAAGCACCATACCACACGGGACCAGTTAGCTGTGAAAAGGCTGCACATGTAATATTGTCCCATAAGAAACCATAAAAGTTTTGGAAATATAAATCGACTATAAAATAAGAAAAAGTAAGTGTAGGAAGTGAATTCTGTGTAGGGTAGGTGGGAGGTAGGGTGGGTGAGTGGCCAGACTGAGAGGACAACTCCCTCCCTCTGCTATGTCACCCCCACTACCCATTGAACATGGCACTATGCAATTTCAAATTAATTCTCATATAATTTAGGTTCATTTGATGTCGAGTTTAAAAATTTATCATAAAATAATCAATTTCCCCTCAAAATCCCACACTCAACCCCAGAGGAGTTATTGCATTGTATTAAATTCCTGGTACATTGCTTTCAAATGCAAACAGCTGACTATCCTTGCCCTCCTTTGCAGTGTTGCCAGCATTCTCCATCTCTCATGCTTACCACAACATGTCTTCAGCACTTACAGTCATAAATAATATTTTAGTGTATTAACAGCACTTAATCAATAATATTGTAGTGTATTTATCATCACTTAATAAATAATATTGTAGTATGCAGTATTATGCATCTACATATACCCTGGTTTATTCATTAATCAGTTGTCCAAGTGTACAAGTAGCAAAATAAAGCTATCATCACTGAAAGGTAATAAATAACATTAGGAATATATCTCTATCAAATACTATACAGTATGTTATAATGATCCCATTGTAAGCTGATTTGTTGAAAGTTTTCTCTCTAGGAATACATCCTGAACTTTCAAGGGGTATTACTGTACATGTTGGAATGCATATACAGTACCCATAATTACATGACAGTAAAATCTCGATAAATTGGACTTCATTATACGTATGGGAATTTACTTTTTTCCGACTGGGGTGCTCTGAACCGCCCATCTATTCACAAAAATATTTTTTTAAATCTGGAAAAACCAGCATCAGTCCAGACAGTTTGTGTATTTGTACATGGGGCTGAACGTCTGTACCCTGTATGTGGGTGTTGTGCTGCACATGTCTCACTGTCTCAGGCTGTCAGTCTGAGTCTGAGTCATGCCTTCATATGTTTAGTATTCATTTACATGATTTTTTTTTTTTTTTTTTTTTTTTTAGAGTATTTAGTATCTTTAACAGGGATACTAGAGAGTTTTAAAAATGGGCTGAAATTATGTATCTGTTAAGTACAGTAAACCCTCGAAAGATAATACAGACCCCATCCGGGCAAGAAACATTTGTCCAAACCCTTAAATATTTATCATTTGAAATTCCCGCTATCGAGCAATCCCTTGGCCTCTTTTCTTTGCTCGGACCCGTAAGTCAGCTATAAGCTCAACACACGTTCAGCCACACCTGGTGCAGTCCATCTCTCTCCATTATTTTGAAGGCATATTACAAATTATATCTGGGTTTTTTTTATTGAATATTTTATATTATTAATCATGAAACATACACCATAAGAGGCAGATCGTACGAGAACCTAATAATTAAATAAAAACAAACGTGAACGTGGCAATGCCAGTCCCACCCCCAGGAAAGAGATTACCTTCTCATTTGGCTCGTCTTTATGTTTTGAAGTCAAATTGCAAATTATGTATTGTATTTTATATCATTATTTAATACTGTATTAATAGTTTGACCATACAAGAATATAATAATGAATAATTACAAACAAACTGTATTGTATGGATCTTATGGGATACCTGTTTCTTCCCTTTGGCTATGAAATAGGATTTACTTATTTAGCTTCTTCATGTTTGCCCATACCTACATAGATATTAGCTTTATGCATACTCTTGATAATAACTGCTTTCAGCCTTTCTAGCTATTAAATTGCATTAGATTATCAACTTCTTAATTTTCTTTTGAAGTACATTACTTCATTCCCTAATTGATGGTTTCTTATTTATGATTTTTTGTCAAATTTGTTGTGTTTATTATTGTCTCATTGTTTCACTTTGTCACATTGTAGTCTTCATAGATTACTTTTCTAAGGAAATTAAGATGTTTCCTCTCATGGAAGGTGTTCAGAAGTGTAGGTTCTGGGGTAGTGTCCTCAGTGATGGTCTCTACCAACATTTCTTTTAATTTTTTTCATGTCCAAAGAAAAATAGTGTAACTTCCATATAATTTGCTTTTTTTGAAGAGTTAAGTTGGTGAAGCGTATTACAACTTGTGAATGGTGACACCCTCATTTATTATGTACAACATTTTCTATGTAATTACTGTACAGACCTTACTGGAACTTGTGATCCTGTCAGAACTAAAGAATAATAACCCCGACTGTTATTAGTCCTGTTTATTTACTTTAGTTTGCTTAAATTACTTTCTTATACACAGAACTCACCTCCTCATACAAGCACCTTGTGTTCAAGTAGGATGCATTCATTACTACCTGTCTAAGTACAGGTAGTTCCATATTGTCTTAGCTGGTGAGAGTAATAAGGTTGACCATTAGCAAGATTTGAAAGACACACTCACTGTGCATTAAAATACTGTACTGTTATACTGTATACAGTTAGATGTACAGTATGCATTTTCTGAGTGGTTGATTTTTCTCTTTTTTTTTTTCCACAGAATTCATCTCATCTGACTAGCAACTTATCTCCAAGTAGAACACCTCCTCTTCCTATTCAAGCTGCCACCACACCTCCATCGACTAGCAGCCTTACTTCTTCGGGACGACAAGGGAACAGTCCTTCTGGCACGCCTTCTACGACACCTCCGCAGAAGGGTGCCTTCTCTGGCATCAACTTGGACAACATCAACATCTCTTCAGACCTGGCAAGTGTTTTGTCAGCTCTAAAGAATCAGAATGCTGCTAGTACTAATAGGTAAGCTTTTTATGATACTTTGTTTTGATTTCTCTTTCAGTTTTTAGTTCTTTTGCTCCCATCAATAGGTTCATACTTTATTTTGTTATTATTGCCATACCTTTCATTGGTCTGTTCTATTTGTTCATACTTTACAGTACCCTTCAACTGTATTTTTTTTATTTATTTTTTATTTAATAAATTTCCCCATCTTTTCGTATACATACAGTACTTCTTAAAGCAGCCATCATTTTTTTACATATTCTTACTTCTAAGTGCAAGTAAGTGGCAACTCCTAAACTTAGTGATAGTACGACTAGCTTGCAAACTGCATCAACAAATGTCCTGAACATTTTATCTGCATCTACACTTGATACAGTGGAAGTGGTTGGTAGCCAACTTATGTGAGGAAATTATGTATGGATCTCTCTGCCTTGGTATGCAAGAAAATCTATTCCCGCTATAGGTATGCAGGATAAGATTTTTTTATTTATTTTTTATTGCATATGTTTCATTGTCTCCTTTTACCTTGGCAAGTGATAATTTATATAAAAGTTCTGTACTATATTTTGATTGTTTGAGTAATTTTTAAAAAGTTCACATTGAAGATGATCACAGAAATGTCCAGTTACTTATACAATTTTAGGACCAAAAAGATTTTGTTAAATAACAAAATATAGCAAAAATGAATGAACCAAACTTTCATATTTTTGATAAGCAGTACAAAATCTAAGTGTTCCTTAAATTGTTTTTATTCTGCAACATTTGCTTCATTGCTTCCCAATTTTTTTGTTGCATGTTTGTTAGTTTAGTGGGATGTTTCTTTATATGTAAAGTGCAAAGACTGACAAGCATCTATTGTTGATTTTTTGAGATCTGATATGGGTTTGGTTGTGCAATCTTAATTCCCCTCCATTTGTTCTTTGTTATTGATGGTTGTTTGCTGCCAAATTTGTCCATCATATTAGGTCAAAAAGCTAGAAACACATTTGTAAACAGTTCATGAGAAATCTCTTTTAATATAAAATTAAATACTGTATTGTCTAGTCAGATTTATTAATAATATTGAGTTGGAAATCAGTATTGTACCATATCTCTGTAAGTTTGGACTTGATGTTCACAGGAATTGGGTTTAGTTGTGTGGCCACGCAGGGATGCTGAGGTGTTTCTTATTTTGGTGGATGCTGCTGACCCAGCCACTCACTGTGTCAAAGTCCTTGGCTCAGCTAACCCTACTCATCCTACAGACAAAGGGATAAAGTGTTAAGGATATTAGCTTTAGTTATTAGGAATTTGATTGGGCATCTTTTTGATCTATAATCTAGTTTATTTGTGCCAGTTTTTCAAGCCTGTCTAAAACTAATTGACGTGCATGTATGCACTTTTAGAATGTTTCATATTCAGTATTTTCTAGGATTCCCTATATTACAGTAGTGGTCACAAGATACAATGTTATAAAATATTCTAAGACAGCTGGGTAAACGAATTTTATTTTTATTTATTTTTTCTCACTGTATACTTTCTTTATCATGGGATTGTGGTGAAGCCAAATATTGCATACAGGTATCCCCTGATATACAATCTCCTTATTAACAATATTCCTCTTTAATGATGGTGATGTACTAAGACCACCCCCTATATATATATATATATATATATATATATATATATATATATATATATATATATATATATATATATATATATATATATATATATATATATATATATATATATATATATATATATATATATATATATATATATATATATATATATATATATATATATATATATATATATATATATATATATATATATATATATATATATATATATATATATATATATATATATATATATACCTGTATATGATGTAAACAATACACATAACGATGGTCGTCATCTGGCCAAAGCACTACAGTCACAAAAAACATAGCAAAAATCACTTCACAATCACTGTAAGGTATAAAAAAAAATGATAAATAACAACACGGATACTCACCGATAATCGTTGAATTACATGATTCGGGCCATGTGGTATAGCCATAGAACTTAGCTTGCTACTGTATTGCACTGGGTGGCTACTTGGCAGCACTCATGTTGACAACAACAAACATCACTACAGTAATCCCTGCTTAATCACATATTTCATATTTGTGCCTGAGATAGTTTGTGGGAGGCAATAAAATACTAAATATTAATACTGTACAGTACAATGCCCCCTCGCTTAACATGAGTGTGTTCAACACTGATTCGCTCGAACATGTTTTTTTGTTACTACCCGATATCACTTAACACAGGGCTAAGATTTGCCGTGGGTTCGAATCCTGGCAGGGTGAGGTGTTGATTATATGTAGAAGTCCACGTGCTTTATTGGGCTAATGAAATATATATGGATCCTCGTGTTTCGACGCCAGATTTGGTAAAACGTTACTCTGACCACCTAAGTGATATGGGACTGCTTTTAGTATCCAGGTAGTCTAGAGGTAGCGTTCCCCGGTCACAGTCGTGGGCCGTGGGTTCGAATCCTGGCGGAGTGAGGTGTTGATTATATATATATATATATATATTTATATATATCTTGATAAAATCACACAGGAAAATGGAAACAACGGAGTACCTTAGCTTTCGTCTTTATTCAAGACATCTTCAGAGGCCTCTGAAGATGTCTTGAATAAAGACGAAAGCTAAGGTACTCCGTTGTTTCCATTTTCCCGTGTGATTTTATCAAGATTTATCTTATCCACGCTTTCATTGTGGATTTACATGAAATATATATATATATATATATATATATATATATATATATATATATATATATATATATATATATATATATATATATATATATATATATATATATATATATATATATATATATATATATATATATATATATATATATATATATATATATATATATATAAATATATATATATATATATATATATATATATATATATATATATATATATATATATATATATATATATATATATATATAAATATATATATATATATATATATATATATATATATATATATATATATATATATATATATATATATATATATATATATATATATATACAGTGAACCCTCGCTTTGCGCAGTCAATTGAACCCACGGCGGCCCGTGTAAAGCGAGAAACGCGTAAAGTGAACAACATAACATATGGGATTAATTGAAATAGAGACCAGGCCAACCCCCAAACTCCATTTTTTCCCGACACAATACGTACGTTTTTGTAAAAATAACATCTTAACTTTATGATGGTATGCACACACACATAATATAGAAGGGAACAATCAGTAAGAGAATAATATACTGTAGGTTAGGTTAGAAAAAAACAAGGTTAGGGTTAACACTAACGTTAGTAGAAGAGATGGGTCAGCGTAGGGGAATGGAGGCTGGTTCCGAGGCAGAGGGCAGGCTACTGGCCCTCAGGTGAGTCTTCATCACTGTCATCCACACTTATTAGTGCCTCCCTTACAAATCCCTCATAGTCACCATCACTGTCTCTGTCTCTGTCACTATCACTGGCTTGGGCTGGCTGTGGTGGGTTGCGGGCGAAGAACTCGGTAATGCTTTGCTGATGGCTGGTGTTGATGTTGTCGTGATACACCTTGATGTAGGGCTCCATAGTCTGCAACAGCTGGGTAGTGAAGACTTCATACCGGTTATCGTCAGGGTCATCGGAAAGGAGGAACTTGAGTTTCTCAACACACTCGATGGCACCCCTTACATTACTATGCGATAACTTGCGTTCTTCTTGGGATGACGCACCACCTGCCTCTTCACTGACGTCATCATCATCTAACATCTCGTCGGCAGTCACATCAGGATCCCTTATCACCTCCAGGATGTCGTCGTTGGTGGTCTCGTAGAAGCCTGCAGCTGTAACACTCTGCGCAGCTTCTCTGGCAAGGTCCACTGCTACTGCAACAGTCTGAACCTCACCAGTCGCAGATTGACTCTGCCTCCCACCTGGAATACCTTGCAACACATGTCTCCATGCTTGACGAATCGTTGCTACAGACAGCTGATCCCATGCCTCCACCAAGAAGTCCACAGCTTTCTTGACATTGAATTTTCTCCAAAAATGTTTCACAAGTACTTCTTGCTCTGCCAACTGTTGTTCCTTGTCGTCTTCGCTCTTGCTATCGGTGTCACCCAGGTTACGCAACTCATCCTTGGTGTTGGTGTAGTCGTTCAGGAGCTTGAATTTTTTAGCAGAGAATGCAGCTTTTACATTACAGATCAATTCTTGGTTCATGGGCTGTATTAATGACGTAGTGTAGGGAGGAAGGAAGACCACTTTTACGTTGGGGTGACGATCTAACAGTAGGGGCGAGTGTCCTGGTGCGTTGTCAAGCAGCAACAAAATCTTGAATGGAACATTCTGTTGCTCACAGAATTTCTTCATGTCGGGAACGAAACAGTCATCAAACCAGTAGAGGGACAGAGTAGAGGACATCCACGCCTTAAGTGCGGTCAGCCAGTGGACATTTAGCTTGGTCATGTCCATGCTCTTGTAGGCTTGCGGCTTGCGTGCTGTGTGGATCACCGATAACTTGAGCTTACAGGTACCGGAGGTATTGGTGGTAAACAGGACGGTGATGCGCTCCTTCTGCAACTTCTGGCCCCAACACTTGATGGCATTCTTCACAACGAAGGTCTTGGAAGCTAACTTTTTCCAAAAAAGACCAGATTCGTCCATGTTAAACACCTGGTCGTCGGTGTACTGTCCTTCCTCCATAATCTCACGTAAAAACGGAGGAAAATCCCTAGCCGCAACACGGTCAGCACTAGCTTCTTCACCACCAATGTTGATGTTGGTGATCTTGTTCCTCTTCTTAGACCTCTGCAACCACCCAGAGGAAGCATTGAAGGGTTTGGGCTCTCCAATTCCCATCTTATGTGCGTGCGTACTCCTTAACTGAGCGCATGTCCACCGCCATGTTCCGTCTTGCCTGACGAATCAAGTAGCTCACAAGTAATTTCTCCGTCTTGAGAAGCACCTGGTTGTGGCAATACTTGATCA